TGTATATACATATACAATACCCATATTACACACACATATATATGTATATGTGTACATTACCCATATCACACACCTTCAGTAACATTGTGGGGGGGGGTGTAGATATACAAATGTGTATGAAATAAATGAACTTATAACTTATCAAACTTCCCTTTTATTATGATTTCCTAGCTTGAAGTAAACGTTTTCTTTTTCTCGTCTATCTATCCTTTGTTTGTCTCTCTCTCTATATAATACACAGCATATTAGATAAAGCACGTGCATGATTTGCTTTTGCAACATTATTTACATAGTGTAAGCTGGTGCTAGTTGAAACCGTAGGTTTTGGGACCTGTCGTCACGTTCGGATCTCTCATAGGTGATGTCACGTTACAGGAAAAAAAAATGACCAAACAATCAGACACAATCGATGAAAATGTAGCCGTAGATATATTAGTACATTCGCGCACGTTCGCTCGAGTTCACGTGACCCAGTAAATCTAGAAAATGTGGTCGTAATTCTAGGTCTAAAGTAAAAACGACAGTAATGCACCAGCTTAATTTATAAGTTATCTTTGTAACTGACGTGTTGAGATGTCGCTTAGTTGTGATGTGCCCACCACAGGTATTACACTCTGTATTTTTTTTTTAGAATTATAAGCTATAGCCCATTGTGTAACTATGCGTTTAACAACAAACAAACGACACTGAAAGCAGATAATAATGATTCGATGTAGTGAAGATAGTCAAAACATTTACTACGTCTTGAAATATTATTGATAAAATTTATCTGGTTATTATACTTTCTCCTCTAACCTGTTACTTAAAGTATTCTTTCATTAAATATAAATATCTTGACTTCTTTAAATAAAGCTTATTGTCAATTTCAAACCTGAATACTCTCGACTGTTTGTGATTTTTATAGAATTTCGCGCAAAACTACACGAAGGGCTATCTGCACACAGCCCTCCTTAACTTTGAATTGATAGACTAGAGGGAAGGCAGCGCCCACCGCCATCTCTTACACGACTCTTGTCTGATCGAACAGTCGTATTTAACTCGGTGCTCGTTTTAGCGCAACCATAGCCTCAAAGTGGAGACTGCAATTTTTGTTCGCAACAATAGAACACGAACCATGAACCCTATATTCACAGACGGATCTTTGTAACCACTCCACGCCCAGCGTGCTTGATTGCTCTTAAGGAACAGGTTAATGAAATGCAAACATTTGCGGGAAAAGTGAGTAACACATACTGTGGTAGCTAATGTTGTAGGCCTTATGATACAGAAGGAGAACGTATATCTAAGTGATATCTTTATAATTATATTCAAGTTTCCCTGATGACCGACTGATAATACAACACGACGTAATGAAGGCGTTTCTCTATTTGTCTACGATCGTTTGCACAAAGCATCCAAAAGATTCTGTTAAGTGATGACTTACCCTACTATTAAGAGTTTAGTAGCACAGAATTTGTTGTAAAAATTAGGGGGGAGGGACCTTAGAAAAGTTTTTAGGATTTTGTCCCCTCTGAAAGATTTTTTTTTTTGCCTTTGTTCATACAACACACTTTCTCTCAGTAGGCCTAACTAGTGTATAAGTGAACTAAAGAAAAGACGTACATGAATATTTATCAGGGGATCGTATGACCCCCCCCCACGATTCTTGGGTGAGAGGGGAGAAACCAAAATCTATGTAATTAGTCTAAGTGGTTGTGTATGTTTTTGCTTTATTGTATTGCTTGTCGAAAGAATAACGGGTCTAATGAGACGAATAACTGCTACGATTATGTACAAACCAATTATGTGTTTAATGATGTGTTTTTTATTCCCAGTGATACACACGGTCGTACAGTTGTGACGCATTACCATGGGAGTGCTGTTAGAAATAGATAAATTTTGGTATATTCTAATAGTACTGAGGGGAAGATAAAGGGGCAAGAAAACCACTACCAGGGTAATGTGTCACATCTGTACGACCATGTGTACCACTGGAACCAAAACACTACCAGGGTAATGTGTCACATCTGTATGACAGTGTGTGCCACTGGAACCAAAACATTACCAGGGTAATGTGTCACATCTGCACGACCATGTGTATCAGTGGAACCAAAGCACTCCCATGGTAATGCGTCACATCTGCACGACCATGTGTATCACCGGAACCAAAACACTACCAGGGTAATGTGTCACATCTGCACGACCATGTGTATCACTGGAACCAAAGCACTCCCATGGTAATGCGTCACATCTACACGACCATGTGTACCACTGGAACCAAAGCACTACCAGGGTAATGTGTCACATCTGCATGACCATGTGTACCACTGGAACCAAAACACCACCAGGGTAATGTGTCACATCTGTACGACCATGTGTACCACTGAAACCAAAACACTACCATGGTAATGTGTCACATCTGTAATACCATATGTACCACTGGAACCAAAACATTACCAGGGTAATGTGTCAGTTCTGTACTACCATGTGTACCACTGGAACCAAAACACTACCAGGGTAATGCGTCACAACTGTACGACCATGTGTACCACTGGAACCAAACTATCAAATTACTAAAAACACCAAATCGTGGCTGATAATGATAATTTCATCTGTTTACTTTTTTACACGTTCACCATTTCCGTGTTGTTTTTTCTACACGAGTAAAGTTTTTAATCACTACAAAGTAAAAACCAATTCCGGAATAAATTGGCTACGAACTGCAAAATCTGGATTTCGTTGTATCGCCACCAGTGGTTCCCATTTGGAATAATAAAATAATCTTGGCGATTAATAAGTAACACACACTAAGAATCCAGCTGTGAGAAAATTTGTTTTGTTTTTTTTCTTTGATTCAATTCTGTTTGACAGTGTGTTGCATTCTAAGTAAGTAGCATCTGATGGCAAGGAAGTAAAAGCTCAACACAGATCAAACAAATTCTAAGAAGTTAAATTCGGATTTAGTCATCCTTTTCTCTGGAAAGTTTCTCTTTAGAAGACGAAAACATTTTGCAATCAGCAAATATATTACAGTAAAAAACTGACCACCAGAGCGTTGATATAGATTCATTTAACTCTTTCGCTAAGCGGGGTTCTTCTTTAGAGGTGGTCATTTCTTTTAGCTCTTATCGAACGAAATCAAATAAGAGTCTAACCAGTTCTAAGCAACTTAATCCAATTTTCTTGTTGTCTTAAATTCTCAGAAAAAAAAATATATATATAACAAAAAAGCAACTGAGATATTGCTCCCTTACAAAATTTTATAAACTTTAAACTCAACTTTAAATTGCTCGAAGCTACTAGAAAGATTTATAAAATGCATATAAGTAAAAGAAAATATAACTTAATCTCGCGTTTCATAACTTCGATTATCTCTCCCTGGCGACAAAAATGCATTGATCGGAAAATATAATCTTGTTCCCAGACGTATAAAGTGCATTTTCTGGACGCTAGAGACCCTAAAGTACGATTTTACAGACCGCCACCTATAAATCAATATGCCATAGTTGTATATCAATTATATTAAAGCAACAAATAAATATTATTATTCTCAAAGTGCATATGAAAAGTTCAAACTAATCCTGAGTTTTATGTAAAGTACAAAATGTAGTTAACAGCGTTGATTAACACAAAATATTAGAAATATGTGGCATTTATTTTAGAAATCCTGCAGATTTTAGAATTATTTGATTACTAGATAATGTTTGCTTAGCCTTAACTTCTTCCTAAGATTTTTTTTTCATGTTGTCGACTTCAGACTACATCTAATTTTCCGTCTAAAAATTAAAACTTTTTTCATGTTGTCGAATTAAGACTACATCTAATTTTCCGTGTAAAAATTAAAACATTTTTTCATGTTGTTGCTTCAGAATACATCTAATTTTCCGTGTAAAAATTAAAACTCTTTTCATGTTGTTGACTTCAGAATACATCTAATTTTACGTGTAAAAAATAAAACTTTTTTCATGTTGTTGACTTCAGAATACATCTAATTTTACGTGTAAAAAAATAAAACTTTTTTTCATGTTGTTGACTTCAGAATACATCTAATTTTACGTGTAAAAATTAAAACTTTTGTCCGTTTCATTGTAATATTAAAAGATACGTATAAAGTTTTTCGTTTTCTTAATTAAGATTTTTTTACTACACTAAAAAAGTTACCAAACAATTTATTATCAACCATGCCCCTAAGCCTTGGATGTATTACATTGTTTGTTAGTTTGTTTGTAATTCCGATTTTTTACTACACTAAAAAAGTTACCAAACAATTTATTATCAACAATGTCCCTAAGCCTTGGATGTTTTACATTGTTTGCTAGTTTGTTTGTAATTCCGATTTTTTACTACACTAAAAAAGTTACCAAACAATTTATTATCAACAATGCCCCTAAGCCTTGGATGTATTACATTGTTTGCTAGTTTGTTTGTAATTCCGATTTTTTACTACACTAAGAAAGTTAAAATGTCCCTAAGCCTAGTATGTTTTACTTTGTTTACAATTCTGATGTTTCGATACACCAAGAAAGAACTTATTATCAAACAAAATATTAAGAATGCAAAAATGATTTTAGTATCTTACTTGTGTTAAAGTCTCTGTAATTATTTTTTAGTAACATCGAAGTGACTTTTCTTATGTGCTCTAAACTGTTGTTTCGTACTATAGTATACACAACTGTGCTCTGTGGTGATGTTTTGTATGTAATCAACGAAAGTGTTAAAACAAAAAAAAACGATATTTAAGGGCTTTCCCAAAATTATCAAAGTGAGATATATAAAAGGTGAAAATTGCTGAATTCTAACACAATTCCTTGAAAACTTACAACTAAATATATATATATATAGTCACTAGAACAGAAGTAGAAATATAATACACGTTTTGATTACATTGCCAGGAATAGCTTGTTTTATCTCTCTTAAGTCCGTGACAAATTACTTTTATGGTGGATCAATGGAAAGACGGGGTAATCCAACCCCGAAAGGCACATGTTTACCAATATATTTAAACACAAATATGTACTCACCCTAGAAAACCTAAGGTCATTTTCAAGTACTTCGTAAATTGACTCCGCATATGTTGGATCACCCCAACAGCAACAGAGAATCAATAAAAGGAACAGCTTCATAATATCTTTATCTGTGTTTAACTTGATCCGAGGTTCTCACTCACACACACACAGAAAGTTAAACCCTTTTCTCAGAGCTTCTGTTTCTTTTGGAGATAGTAGACGGGTCCTCGGTGTCCTCTCACTAAGGCTAACGCGTCTTTACTGCAGTTGCTATGGCGGTTATAAAAGCAGTGACGTCTTTAAGCCCTGCAGAAGTAGAATTTTACCACAATAAAAGTTCCCTTTGCTTTCTCGGTTACCACATTTTCAGATCTCGCAGTATTTAGAGCAAAGTATTAATATGACTCCTCCATCAAGAAGCTTTCAACGTCCAGTGTTTGACTTCGAAACTCCTACCAGATTGGTTAACCGAAGAAGGTCGTAGCTCACAGGAGGAAACATGTAAGCAGTACAGGAACAGAGAGAGGCTGAGTTCGTGGTTGAGTCTGCGTGAACGTTAGGACTATGGGACTATGGGTAGGCACTGCAGCGAGCAGTTTTGTCACACCACGCCCATTCTAATGAGCTGTTCTCTGTCACAAGCTGTCTCCTCGTTCAGTTTCATTAAATATACATTCTGTCAAACCAAGTTTATATATTTAACAGAACAAAAATTATCTAACGGACAATTTCGAATTTCCGTTTCTGACTTGAATGGAGTGTTGAAGATTTATTGTTAAACCATATGATGATATAAAAGAGATGATTTCATTATTAAGTTCTCTCGCATAGTAATAATTTAATTATAAAGATAAACGTCGCTAAAATGGTTACTTACTAAACAATTAGTTTGTGGTAAGATTAATCAATATAATGCCTCATTCCAGAGACTCTACAAATGAAATTCTATCATTTAGTGCTGCCCTCTAGTGAATATAAAGAGAAACGTAAACATTACAAAATCTACAATTGGAAGTAGTGAATCAAAGAATAGATTTGGTTCTGCGTCACCTTTTTTACACTGAAGTTCACGTTTTGGTGGCGAAGATAAATTAACAGTTAAGTAAATTTATGTTATTTTTCACGTGTTCATACAATCTTTATTTTCTCATATTTTCACTATTTTTCATCTACTGTTTCTTAAGAACACTATCATTAAATTCAGCATTACAGGATAATTATTAATAATGCAAATATATTCTGCGTTAATCCAATTTAAACAGAGATGTAACTATTAAAAAAGACGATTGATGTTCCCATCGTCTCAACACTGGTCAGTATGTTAACTTTTAATTAATAGTTTCTGTTTGTTGCTGAGCTCAAAGCTACACAATGGGTTATCTGTAGGGATGCGTATCTCGATACAAAAGTTTTACCAAAAGGTTTGTTACAAAGTTTGACAGTCTTGTCTGTAATTTATTATCTATATTACTAACATTGTCTTATTTAAGTACTTCACATTTTACAGTCCTTTTTCAAATTCTCATGTTTGATAAATTAAATGGCAGCTGACAAGAGAAGTAAAATAAAAAAGTTAATATCTGTCTATCTATTTTGTTATTGTTAATTTCTTATGTTACTTTGTATGTAATGTTTTTGATAAAATAAATGAAGACAACATGTAGTACTCAATACTCATCTTCCTTTACTGAATCATTAATTTTTAGCAAAAATAGTTTATTAGAAAGTCTGATTTGTTCTGTACAAAAGACTTATGATGTTTACTGAAAGCTTGCCAAATTTTGTGAATATACATAAATAGTATCGTATCGGACGATGTATCGATACAATCGTATCATGGCTTCACGATACGATACTTGTATCGTATCGCTGTATCGCCACAGCTTTAGTTATCTGTGCTCTGTCTACCACGAGTATCGAAACTCAATTTTTAGGGATGTATGCCCTCAGACTTACCGCTGAACCCCCAGTGGCTTTATTAATAGCTGGCAATGTTAGCAGTTCGGAGTTCAAATAAATTTGTTTGATAGCTCTGAAACAATGACTTACAGTAACATGCAAATCAAAATAGGCAGCGGAACATATTTGAATTGGGGGGGGGGGGTATCGATGATTGGAGGACTTTACTTGCTATGTAAACAGTGACCGTTGAATTCGAAACTGAAACAAGTTCTAATTCCCCATTCAATGGGACATTTCACTACCGAATTAAAATTGGGGGCACGTGACCGCCAGTGTCCTTACGATCCCGCCGCCTGTGCATATCAATCGTGGTTTGTTTGTCTGTTATTCTTTAATTTATTTAAGACTAGTTGGGGTACCCGTCCCCTGTAAATTCATGATTAATGAAATGTTATCTTAGGACATGAAAAGTTGTATCCCTTATATGTAATTGTAAAAAACGCCCATAAAAACTGGAAAACACAAAATGTGAAACCACAAGTTTGCATGTATCTCCGCATGGACCTAATGAACCCCCATACCTAATTTTGGTGAAGATCCATCCACACCCTGCGAAGTAGTTACATGGAAATACAACAGACAGTACTATTATATTTATATAGACAACAGACAGTACTATTATATTTATATAGACAACACACG